AGTGGCACTGCTGGCCTATGCTGTCAGTTTGAGACCTCAGAGCCGTCCTATCTGTCACTCTGATCTATTTATGTTAGTTTTACCTCTGTGTTGGCACGTCTCTCTGTGCGGCATAGTGATTAGAATAGCTTGAGGATGTAGAGCAGCCGTATGAATACATTTCCTCCTCTCTCACACTCATTTAGGCTTCCAGTTGGAGCTGAGCTGACGAATAGAATCATTAAGCTGATCTGCGAAGAAGAGTGGTGATATTTGATTACAAAATATCAGTGGAAGTGGTACATGATTGAGTGCTCAAATATTAAAATCTCAAGAGTCCTTTTGTTCTAAGAGAAGACAATCACATTTTTTCCACTTTTACATCTGAATAACTGATCTTCCCTTGCTAGAACTTTATTGTATTTTATAGAGCTGTGGGTTTGAAGATACATTTATGACACAAATATATATTTGTTAGTACAAGTCAGTCTTGAAAGTGTCCTTAGTGGGTGTTTATACCTCTCCTGACCCCAGCTTTACCATCAGGTAGATTTCCATTACAACAGCATAATTCACCAGAAATTGAATCGTCAGTGCCTCTGCAGAGGGAGAAGACACTAGAAATACTTTTTAAATCAGACACTTTATTCACACTGCAAAAAAGCAACTCAATCATCTGCAAGGGAAACTCAATTAAGAGCCACATTCGTGACAGCACTGTCTGACTCTACATACCTCACATTCTTCTGCTTCTCTTATCAATGACACATTGGAAGAGGTCCTTTACTGGCCTGCTCACAATCACATTTCTGAACGTTACCTCATTTGGAGGAAAGGAGATGGGTGACAACGGACAACCGTGGCATTTCCCTCAGGAGCCGTGTCCAAACACAATGCCTCATGAAGCAGGCAGACTTGTAGAAATAAATGGCCTTCAGCTTTGCTGCAGCCAGGCAAACATGGCAGACTGAGAGGTTCTGTGGCTCGAAGTAGCTGGTATTAAGTTGCAAAATGAAGTCCTGCTCACAGACCCTACAGATAATGGATGTCTTGGGCTGTGTAGCAGCCCCCTCATGGCTGTTTGGAGCTCTCACAGAGAGCACACAAACGGGGACTAGAGGAGGATTTAGCCTTCTTTTAGAGATAGGCGAAAGGCTTAGACCCTGTGGAGCACACAGCCTGATCCTCATGTCTGTGGTTGAAAGTCTCTGTTAGCAGAGAATATGTTTGACTTGTTGGGTAGTGGTTTGCATTACAAAAAGGAAAATATCAGATGCTATTGTCAGTCCAGGGAGAGTTTGTAAATTGTCTTGGTTAAACATTGTAAATAGTGATAGTTTAGTTTGTTACCCATGGTGTCTTTGTGTACAAGAATCTGTTCTGTACTTTGCTTTTTACCATCGGAGCCTCTAGGCAGGTTTAAATGTTGATGTTGGAAAGCCCCAAGCTGTCTTTTATCGAATATAGCTTTTACCTACTAAACTAACCCTGGATGCCAACTAAAAATAGTGCCTTTTGTGAGCATTGCATTAGCAGATGGGGGAGAAAGATGTGGTTACTCATCAGTGAATTGAAATACAAGTGGAGCAGACAAGTGTCTCTGCCCTGCCAATGTGAAGTAAAACAGAGAGGGCCTCAGAGAATAAAGCAAGCCATGACTGCACCAGGTAAGACAAAGGAGGCAGGGTGCAGAGAGCACAGAAAATCTCTTATGAAATGGCCTACCCCTTGCCTCCAGCTGAGCCTTTCATTGTACTGTTGTTTCTAGGGGGCTTGGATGGCAGCTTAGATTAGATCGCACTGAGTAAAGAATTGGAGATGACGAAAACCTGCTGCAGCTCAACATCACCACAGCTAGGATCCATGCACTGCAGAGGATCTGACTGGTTTTTATTCAGATCAATTTGAGTTACCCTTATTGTTCATAACTCTGTTTATATTCATGCTAACATTGTTCTCCTGTAATCTGTATTCATGCGAGTATTTCTTTCAATCCCTTTGCAAAGCTGGCCTTAAATCCTTACCAGTCACGTTTTGCTGCTTTAGATTTTCCCAATTGAATATGCCATGAATGACTTTTTAGGCTCTCTCCCAAAACAGGGGGTCACTATGCTTTTGTAAGATTCTATTTTGCGCTTAAATGTAGAAATTCTGGTTTCTCTATTATTTGTAGAAAATGCTCTATCTTCAGCTTTTGCAAAATGATCATCCAAGATAATCAATTAATAAAATTTGGCTGGATGAAAAATGAAACCCTACAGCTTTATCACACTGTATAGGTACTCAAAGCATGATAATTTGGATGGTTATCCTTAGACAGGTTTTGATTGAAGCTACAGAGATGAGCATGGATTTGGGTGAACGTGGGAGTGATTGGGATGAATAAACATGGCTTTTAAAAAGGCTGTTTGGGAGAGAGAGGGGAAAAAAAGCTGTGTTTAGTAACAGAAACCTGCTGTGTGGCGATTGTGGGGGATGATGTGTTAATCGAGCCACAAACTGTGTGATTTTTCAAGCCAGAGGTCTCGTTTAAACACGTACGCAAAAAGAGAAATGTATTTGAGCAAGGCCCCGCTGGCTGCTAGCCCTTGACTCCATTGCACTAATGTAAATGGTGGATTAGGAGCAGTTGGCTGGGACCCCCTTCAACCCCTCTCAGCCACTGCCCCCTCCTTCTCTTTTCCATTAAGACAGCTGGTATCTTTCAGAGGGTCCTGGCCCAGTGATTGATGTGTAATAGCTCCAAGCCTCACCTGCCTCGTTCTAGCATTATTCATCGGCCAGCCAGCCACCGCTGCTTTCTACTAACCACTTTGTTTCCAGAGTGTAGTGGGTGGAGAGCCTTCTCCCTTGCTTTCCCTCTCCATCTCCACTTTCTCTTCCCCCTCAGCCATCAATACCTTATGACTTTTTATTTCCATGGTATTACTACTTCACCTCACAGTGGCTTGCTCCTTTTTTACTCATACAGTTTGTTTAACTTCACGTTGTAGTTTTACCTGCATCAAACTACAGCTACTGATGGGCAATAAATTAACAATAGGCAGTTTGAACATATTAATCTACTAGTAAAAATTTGAGAACACTAAAATGTGAGCAAGTATGTCTGTGTGAAGAATTTCTGTTGCTCAGAGTTAATAAATACAATTATGTTAACACCAGCAAGGTAATTGAGATGCAGAATTTGGAATGAGGCAAAGTGTATCCAGATGCAGACTAATAGCACCAAGACTGTAAAGATACTCTTTAGAGGCTTAAAGCTGCCCACAACATCAAAAGAGAATGAGCCAGCCCTCTATTTGCAACAGTTCAGAGTCCTTGCTGGTTTCAGTGCAAGAGGCTAATGTTACTGATTAGAGGAGAGAAGAGGTGCTTGGCTCATACACAGATTCTGGCAGCCCCTTGGATTAGAGCAGTGCTATCAAATGGTACCTTCATCAATGTTTATATGTCCCTCACACCTCCAAGACATGCTGGTGGATATGGACACAGGAGTGGGCCACAGTATGTATTTTGGCTCACCAGCTGAGGTTTCTATCCACAGTATGTGTGTCCTTGCATTCACATATGCATTAAAACTGTCCTGCGCCCATGTGTCTTCGGGGTGCAGTTGTGTGTATTTGCTGGCAGCCCAGTGGTCGCCGTGGTAACTCATCATTAGGTGATTAATGGGGCTGTGACGAGGCTGCGGTTTAATCAGGCCCAGTGTTTGTGTTGAAGCCGACGACAAGAGCAGCTGCCCTGTCAGTTGGTGTCTGCTCATGAGATGACAGCACCCACTGCTGTGGAGTACTGTTGTCAAATGTACTTCAGTGTGTGTGCACGCTCCTGCCAGGAGCCTTTATTCCGCCTTCCCTTTTCTGTTTATTCTTCACCTCAGTCTTTCTAGTTTTCTCAGTAAGTGCATGTCCACTTGCAGACCTGCTGTGTAATTTTTGTTTTGCTCTACCTGACTCAATCTCTGTTGCTCCCTCCTCCTTCACTCTCCCTCTCCCACCCTGCTATCACCACCATGGTAACGTGGGCGCTGATTGCTTGGTCTGATCCCTCTGGGGGATGTAATAACTATTTCTAGCTAATTTGTTGCGGTGGCGGTGGGGGTGGAGGGGGCAAATGCTGGCAGTAAATGAGAAGCCTTCTTTATAGGCATAATGTGTAGGGACATTGTAGTGCTGCTTCAGCTTTGCCCACTTCACTGTTTGATTATGGCTTAAAAAAGTGGTACCCGGGTTCTTTAGAGTGAATGACGATAGCTGAAAATGGCAGTGGACTGGACACGGCAAAAGACCAGCTCAGCCTCTCTCCCTTTCCTCACCTAGTGGATTGCTGTGTTCTTCCCTCCAGAGCTGTCACTTTATATCAACACAGTGGTGACTGTCAGCTAGGGCTGGGGTGGGGTGCAGTCCACTAAGCCCTACTACATACACATAACCACGCACAGATGAGTAAAATTGAAGCTTCTGTCATCATAGATGGTCTGCAGAGAAGCTAGCCAGTTAATTCTGTCATTGAACTTTATGCTGTGGCATCGCAAACGCCAAGCAGCATCCTGTGGAAAAACATTACCTCTGAGGAATTCTCCTGGCTGCAAGACTAGTCCTCAGTGCAGTACTACTTCTTTATGCTAGCAGAGTAAGACTTGCCTTTAGTTACTGCATGTGCATGTCTTTCTACTTTTCTCCTGCTCTGTCTTCCATTTTCTGTGTTTTAATAACTCTGTTTTACTGCCTTTCTGGAAATATGTTTGAACAGGAAGCTTGAGGGTTCTGTTCTTTGATAAGGCTGCCCAGAGCTTTCCAGAGTATACACCATTGTGGAGGCCAGTGCCAAGAATTACTGTGATGTTGCGAAGAGTCAGCTCAGCTACCTGATCTCTAGGAACTAATCTTGTATTTCCCACCCACAAACAACCTCGTCCAGCAGAGAGCAACACTTTTTATGTAGAAAGTGTAGCTTCTGTGCTGTCAGGAATATGGTTATTGTCACAGGCTATGCTAATTGTCCTTTTTCTTTACCCACAGCTTTTCTGAAACACTGGGGTAGTTGGTGTGGCCAAATTTTCCCTGGATTTGATTGGTAAATTCAGAAGACTGAAGCCCAGGCTCACAGTCTACCTTTCACGGAGGCCCAGCCGTGAGAGGACAGAGGAAGGCACGTGGCGGATCATGACGGCCGACAAAGAGAAGGAGAGGGAGAAAGAGCGGGACAGAGACAGGGACCGGGACAAAAGAGAGGCCGGCAAGTCCCGCCGGCAGGATGGGGACCGGGGTGACCGTGAGAGTGAGAGCTCCAGGCCCCGACGCAGCTGTACATTGGAGGGCGGGGCCAAGAACTACGCCGAGAGCGAGCATAGCGAGGATGACGACAACGACAATGGCAGCACAGGTGGAGGCAGCGGGACAGCCGAAGAGGCTGGCAAGAAAGGCAAGAAGAAGACTCCCAAGAAGAAGTCACGTTACGAGCGCACAGAAAATGGAGAAATCACGTCCTTCATTACAGAGGATGATATTGTTTACAGACCTGGAGGTAAGTCATCAGCTCGCATCAGCATGGTCACAACCTGCGGTGAACACAAGTCAATCTACATTTATGGACTTTCCCATTTTAAACAAAGGCTCAAGTTATTAACATTTCATTCTCACTTACATGTCCCACTTTGTTCTTAATAAGCTTGTTTATTGGAATTAAGACTTATTTTTAATTGACCAGTAATTGATTCACTTATCTCTGTTGCTGAGGGATTGCAGATTCTCCAATATAGCAACTCCCTAACAGCAGTAGTATTCCCTCAGGCTAGAGGATGAGGCATCATACAATCAATTTATAGTTGACCCACTCTGTGCTTTGTCTTGGGCTAAGTCAATAAAACAAAGTGGTGCTTCACTAGATGATGCGATAGTGACAACATGATAATAATTTCATCCAAACAATATCTGACTTGCTGAAAGTATGTGACCTCCTTTCAGTCCCTAAAGGCACTCTAGTTTCTTAGATGTTTGAGCTGCTGTACAATGTGTACAGTGTCCTTATTAAGCTGAATGAAGCTAAAAGGAGAAAAAGCCTTTTCAGCATGGCTAAACAAGGCCTCAGTTTCACCTATACTGTTTATAAATTGGCTGTATTAGAGGTGGGGATGTCAACACTTGATGTCGGAAGAATGCCAGACTACTTAGACGTGTGTGTAGTCTGCGCTCGCTCTCTTTCTCTCTCTCTCCTACTGCTCAGTGGTGTCTGCCTTGCAACTAAATCATTGCCGCCATGTCTTTTCATTTATCTAGTAGCTAGCAAAAGGTCAAGTAGTTGGGGGCGGCCCATGTGGCTTGGGTATTTAATGGGAAGATGTCGGAAATTACAGCCAGTGTGTTAGGTTATCTTCTCCTCCAACATCCGACCCATACACACATGCACACAAACAGCCATCTCTCCTTTTTTCTCTTGAGCCGCCAAAGAGATGACTTCAAGGAGGTGCAATGAAACAGCCAGACCTCCCCAATCCTGCTCTTTCCATCTAGCTCTGTAATCTGTTTGGCTAAATTATCTCTGCGCTGGTATCAGTGGAGGTTCTCAAGCAAGCAGTCATGCTGAACCAAAGTCTTGCTGTTACTCACTCTCTGTTTCTGTCTCTCTAACACTCTACAGCAGACTCCATTGAAGCTCTTTTTTGCTCCGCATTTCATGTTTAATAGAGAGCACTGACGCTTTGTCTCATAGTCAACCATGCGGAGAGATGGAGGTAGAGAGGGAGGGGTTGGGTTAAAAAAAAAAAAAGGGAAGCAGTCAGTCACGTCGATGAAACATTCAAAAGGCATATAAACAAAGTCGACCGTCTCAGCGGATTAGCCCTGCCGAATATTTATATTTCCACATCCGAGCGAACAGCACAGCCACCGTCTGGTTGAGGGGGGATATTTATATTTCCTGTCTTCTCCTTCAATTAGTTTGACAGGTTTAAAGCGGCCTAGTGTCACAACCTGCTCTTACCAACGTAGACTGGAACTGTTAGGTTGGTTTAGATTAAGGATGAGCCAGGATTGGTTAGTGGTAGCCACACCAGTTTGTAATTTCCCTCTTATTGTCAGCATGGAACATCCTCCACCATAGCAACTGACCTCCTGCTGTCTCCTCTGCTTATTGTTCAAGTGATAAGGCCTGTGTGTGTTTCTCCTCCTGCTTGGACATCATTAGCAGTCTTCTTGTGCTCAGATTTGATGTGTGCATCTTAGGCAGGCACAAAAGCCCCTTTTCCATCACCTGGTACTGGCTCTACTCACTTTTGGTACTGGGTGCTTGGTTTTCCACTGCAGATGGTCCCCTCTCAGTGTAGCTGGTTGTCATAGCGACACCGCATTACGCTGCCATGATGTTATCAGCAACCGACACAGTAACAATGGAGGGCGTCGAAGGTATGCTGTTCTTGATTCGCCTTGCTCGCTTGGAACCTTGACGGAGGTTATATCAAAAATAGTATCAGGAACTATCCCCAACATTTGACTGATGGGAAAAACAAATAAGTCAAGTTGAGCTGGTACCAGGCAGTGGAAGAGGGGCTAAAGCCTGCAGTAAATTATGCTTTACTAAATGTTAAATCCCTTTAATAGCTCTCTAGAGACATGCAATATGCAAAACTGACCACCTTCAGAGGGGGTTTTATATGGCCCAGGACATGGGAGAAGAAAGGCCAGTGGCTGCGGGTCCTAAATGTCTTAAAGACAATTTTACTAATAAAAGGCCTTAAAAAGTAGAAGTGGTATACATATTGCACTGCATGTTTAGTTGGTGGTTGGTAAAAGAAAAGGAGTGAGAGAAAGACAGAAAAATTTTGAAAATGTTTTATTACAATTTAATTTTTCATTAAAGAAAAGTTACAAAAATGATTATGCTGTCAATTACAGTTCTTAAAAAGAAAATTGGAATCGGCAGGTTATACTTAAAAAAAAAAATGCCAGTGTGTCTACTTAAATTTCATTTAAAGTCTCAAATTTAACTTGTGTATACCTGTAGACACCCTGAAGAAGTTGTGATGGAAAGCCATGTACAAACTGGAAGAAACTGTGAGCCAAAATCACTTTTATCACAGGGAGTTTAAAAGACATATAAGCCCATGTCATCACATAAGAAATACCATGTAAGCAAGTATTGAAACAGTCTGTTCACTCCCAGTCTGCAGCCACCCTACAGTCTCTCTGCTTAGCCTTGAAGATGGACGTTGGCTGCTTAGTGCTCATCGACTGGATGGAAAGAGATGGAAGGAGAAGTGTAATCGGCCAGTAGGCGGGCTTGCAGCTAACTCTAGCTTTTCTGCTCTTTAAAAAGAATCGAGGAGTGTGTCTGTGGTGGAGGCCAGGGTACTGTGTCTCGAGCCATTTGTATGGTTGGCTGCTGGGGTGAACAGCCCGATGCATTGCGAGTAGATATGCCAAATCGATCTGTGCCCTGTGGCTGAGCTCTCACCACTTCCTCAGGCCCCACCAGACACCTCCAGAGCCCGTTCTCTACACTCGTCCCCACCCCCACATCCCAGATTATAGATCCCTTTTCTGGAGATTATACACTGCCATCGGGCGATCAATAGGAGACACCCTAGAAGCACAGACACACATACATATTACTGTGCACATTCAGAAGAGTACTGTAACACATACATATACTCACACTAAAAGATATACACGGTGTGCTTTCAGAGGTTATAGACACAGTCCCTGTCTCTGACAAGCACACTCCTGCCACACACAAACATACAATACTGTCCACATTGCTCATCCCTTCTCTTCACTGCAGCAGGACTTTGTGTGGAGCTGCAGGTGGCTGGCTGCCATAGCATGTCCTCTTTCTTCCTAACTGGCTTACAGGTCTGTTTAAAATGGAGAGAGCTAATGGAAACCACCTGCACCCTCCCGCCTCAGTGTATGTCACACAACATGTCTGCCACAACCAACCCACTGTGTGTCAGGGCAGCAAAGACAAGACTTGCTTTAATTTCTTATTAGAAAGTGGTAGGTTTGTGTCATCAGTGTGGTGTATAATGCAGAGACATTGCAGGCCTGTAAAAAACGCCTTATGTGTGTGAGTGTTGGGGGAGTTGTTGATTTGGACAGCTGGTGCTTCTTGCCGCAGTGACCACAGGACCCTGGGGAACATGTGTGTCACTGTATGTGTCATGTGCACACCCAGTAAGCTGTGCATCAGGAGTATGTCTAACACACGTAGAGTTGATCAGAGTTGGTTTTTCTGTCTCAGATTTTTCAGCTGTAATTTTATTCATTCTGTACATCTTTTATATCATTATTGCTAATTATGTACAATATCTGTATCTGAGCCAGTGTTGACATTTAATAACCATATTGATTAACAATTAACAGATGCAGCAGATCCACATTAAAACAATTTTTTATCAGCATCAGCTATAAATGTTTAAACTTAGTAATACATGTGAATGTTGAACAAGCTAACGCTCTCCTACCAGGACAGATTCTCTTTAGGATGGAGGAGTAGGTCAAAGTGGTAGGGCTACACTGGCCTTCAAATGGAGGGGATTCAGAGGCAGACTCAAAACTGAGTGTTATGAGGCTAACTACAACAAAAGCTACCTGCAGTCAGTGCTACACACCCAAAACAAATCCACCAACATTCTCTGGTGTCGGAAGCATTTTCCTTTCCTTCTATTTTTCTTATTTGTAGGGCTGGACCCAAATATCCGACTTCAGATATTCCTTCATTGAGTAGGTAATCAGTTTTCAATTTCTTCTGCTGGTCGTCACACTTTCTGGTTAAAATGACAACCAGCGGAACTGCGCTTCTCTGTCATTCCAACAACAGAGTGAACGTCTTCACAGGTAAAACTACCAGTTGATCTCACATCAGTGCACACAAATGGTAATGAAGATCCATCATCTGTTCATCTGCTTTTTTGTTTTGTTTTTTTTTTACTCAGAATAGCTGCAGCGCAATGCCATTCCATCTCTAAATTTGCAATACCAGTTATTTTTGTACAGCTTTTTGTGTATAGATATTTATTTCAGAACAAAGGAAATGATACTTCGTACGAGCATAAAACATCAGAATTTTGTTTTCAGTTCAAATTCTCTTGAGAAGCCAGTATAATGTGATTTAGAAAGTTGGATTGGTTATTCGTGAGCCAAGACACTGTAGGCTAGAGCTCAATTAGCATAGTGCATCCCCTCTGCTACAAAGGCTAGCTGTCGATCGGTTTGCTGTTTCTAGTCAAACTAACATGAGGGAAGTCCTTAGTCTTCTCATGCTGAAACATAGCAGTGTGAATCTGTAGCCTGTCGCTAACTGAACAGATCTATTTTTAAAAAGCCCTCTCTGCTTTCCCATCTTTCCCCACGCCAGAGACTTTGGGAAAAGGGCTTTTTAGTGAAATCCAACCACCTGCCGACTGCTAAATGAGAAAGCGTGGGCTAGCCGAGAGGGAAGGGAGAGGAGGAGGGGGTGGTGTTGTCAAAGAGCCTCTGTTCTCCCTTAGGAGCTCAGTCAGCTGTAGGCCTGCCCTATTGTAGAGAGCT